ACATGACAAACATCAATGACTGATTCAAGTTGCATCCGTCGCCACGCCTAAAGATTTTGTGCAAAATGGTGTCGTTGTTTTTCTCTTAGGCCCAACTACGATTGTCTCTGAGGCATAACTACGATTGAGATGGCTGTTGGCAGGAACATTGCGTACATAATGTTTTAGCGTTGTAACCGCGGTTAGACGAATGGTAAAAGCACGGCATGCTGCAAAAACATGTAGTTTGTTCTAGGATTTAAAAAAAAGAAAAGAAAAAAACTAGGACTGAGTTTGCATTACACCATACTCCAGATTAAAAAATAATAATAATAAAGTCGCGAAATATTGGGGAATTGAAGACACACTGAACGCTTCTCAGCCACTCGCAACGGCTCTGAGTTTACCAAAGGAAGCTCTGGAAAAACCCCTAAAAGGGTTGCCGGAACAAATGAATCGGATAAGAGCGAGAGACAGAGGATGGAGAAAAAAGAAAAAAAAAAAAAAAGAAAGAAGAGCGAGAAGGAGAGGGGGTAAGTGCGATAAATTAGAGAAGAAAATAAAGAAAACCTCACCCGAGATGTCGCCGGGGATGCTTGCCTACCACTCACGGCGAACTTGAGCATTACTCTCAGCTACAACGCTAGTTAGCCTCGGTGCCAGCAGCACTGCACGTAGGGAGGGGAGAGACCCACAGCACTTTCCCTTCCTCGCACACTCTCTCTCTCTCTCCACCCTTCACTCAGTGGTAGAAGGAAAGGGGGAACGCAGAGGCACCTCTTCGAGATCTTCTTTCATTCCAAGTGCGAAGAGCGAGCGAGCAGAAAAGAAGGCCCTGGCTTGAAAGGGGGGGACACAACCCTCACGATCACCTACAGTTCCGAAAAAAGAAAGACAACTACGTAATGCCAACATACGCGAAACAAACAAAAAAAGTATTTTTGTTAATTTTTAAGTTGACAGTGCGGTGGGAGCCACGCACTCGCAGGGCCAATCAACCTTTCATCACCTGATCCCGCTCTTTTTGCGCGCGGAGATAGGGGGCGGGAGAGCGATCACGTGACGAAAGATGAGGCGTGCAACTGGTCCCAACGACCACGTAGCCTCCACCGCACTGTCAGCTTAGGGGTGAACATAATACGCAGCTTAGTAGGCGCAAACAGAGGTGGAAAGAAGGAATGTTCACCCTTCTTTTTTTTATTTTTTTTTTTTTTGTTGGAAGTTTGTAAAGTATATAAACGGGGCCAACACAAATATACGCTCAACGAACGGAACAACATTTAAAAAAGAAGGGAAGACTGAAAACGAAAAGGAGAGGGGAAAGGGGTAAGCGAGATGCAAGTAAAGGCCTGAGAGAGAAAAGGAGAGAGAGAGAGCACAGAACAGAGCGACGTCTAGAGGTGGCTTTCGAAGCAGGCCCGGCCTTAGAGCCCCAGTTGGAATCCTTCTGTGGCCCGGAGTGTTTGTGTGTGTGCATCCCTGCGAGGGCCCTGCCCGAAATACATGCTCGTGGGAGGCTGTGGAAGAGGAGAGAGAGATGCTCTTCTACCCTCTCCCAGCAGCGACCTCCTTTTTCCTTTCCCTCATCTCCGGAAGCGCAAGAGCGGTCGGCAAAATCTAATTTGCCATCGTAATACGGGGCAGAAAGGAGGGCATCAGTCAACTTAAGAGCGACCAAAGCTGAGATTTCAAGAACAGCTGGGCGGTTTGCCATTAGCTCCCTCGGTGTTTCTTTTGTTCTTAATTGGGGCTGGTGGCGGCGGTCTTTCCAGCAGCCAACGCTGACAGAGCGAGATCGCGGGAAAGGTACACATTGAACGTGGTGCGCGCGACAAAATGGCGTCTAAGTATCGTTACATGATGGAAAACGTGGAGATGCGCCTTTGCAGAGTGCGAGACCAAACCGATGGAAGCACAATAAGGATCGGTACGCACCGTGACAAAATTGTGCGTACAAGCCAAAGGACAAGAAATGTCACAAACGTAAATCTACGGATGTTTGGTTCTGGCTAGAGAAAATCTTTTCGCCGTTTAGTGACTCAAGTGGCGATGTAAGCGAGTTCGTTCATGACTGACCAAAAAACAAAACAGTGCACAAAAAACGAGGACAGGAGATAGGGCTAATAGACAAGACAAGCGCCAACTTACAACGGATTTTTTTTTTTTTTTTTTTTTTTTTAGAGGGGGGGGGGGGGGGGGGGCTTAAAGTTTCAGAGCAACAAATGGAGCCCGAGACCAACAAACCAAAGCCCTGCAGCCTCAACACACAGTACAAGATTCAGTTGTCGGTCAGCGCTTGTTTTGTGTACTACACTTTTTCTGCTGAATTTGTTTTCGTGCGCTGCTTGGTTTTCCTTAGTATAATCCTTTTCGCTATTTCCACACCATACACTTTGTAGTTACCCATTCATTCGCTGCACTTGTTACCCTGAATTTACTTCATAAACACCGTCGTAAATGTGACAAAAACAATCGATGTAACGATTTTTTTTTCTTTTTCACATACAATTTTAAGAGTTGAGACGAAGCAAACGTATCTCAGCGCAATCATGTTAAACGTTCCTTTAAGTAAATAATAATAAAAAAAAAAAGATTACTCAACTTATCTTCTAACGAGCCGTGTGGTTTTCGACAGGGGAAAGTCCCTAGAAACGCCTTAAACATGTCGATGATGTCATTACAACATAACATCAAATAAACGAGCAAAAAAAAAAAAAAAAGTACGTACACATTGGGGGACAATGCTAGCGCGAACACTAAACTCGCAATTCTTTTTTTTTAGCGCCCTTAATTTGTATTAACGCAACTATAGCTGTCTCGCTAGTAGTGCGTGCGACAGAACTTAAATTCTAAGTGAAACGCAGGGAAATAAATGCCTGCGGTGTTTTCGTGGAGAGTGTCTTCCTACGAATATTTCCGCGCCGCGACGTCGATACGCATGCGCAGTGCCGATACAAACCTCCCATCCCCTCCCCCTCTCTCCCCCCTTCGCACACGCACACAGCTTCCTAAAAAAATGGTGTCGCGTTCTAATGCCCCAGTCCCGCTCCTCGTGCCTCGTACAAAAGACACGGCTGCATGAAGACACAATGACAGATTGAACTGCCTCAACCGTACATTCGAAGCGCGTGTCAAACGTATCTATAGGTTTCGAACATGCTGTCTGTTTATGATCAATGTGACCGGCATTCAAAGAAGAAACAGGCCTCAGAGCGCGTGTCTGCACACTTTCTTTTACACGATGTATTAGCAGTGTGAACGCGCCGATACGCTGCCGTAATATGTAAGTGCAGGGTTTCCCCAAAAACAAAATGTACATATTTTTGTTTTCTTTTTCTACTTTAAAAAAAAAGTACTTTTTTTTTTCTTCTTTTTCTGGAGAGGGGGGAGGGGGGAGGGGGGAGGGGGGAGGGGAAATGACACTGCACTTTTGCACTATACTCAGCCGACAAACATGCATGCGTAGTCGATATACAAACCTACACCCCCTCAGCACGCATATATAGAATTCGTGAAAATGCCGTTTGTTCCCGGTATATACTGTTTCGATTCGTTCCCCTCGCAGCCCCTCCTATTCGAATCTCCTCATGTTTCGTGCAAAACCCCGACATTTCGTCGAGTGTCTTTATTTGTTGAGCGAACGAGGCTCCACCTTCGCCCAGTTTTAAATTTAGCCGGCACCGCTTCCGCCGCTTCCACCTCCACGCTCGCTTCGCTCAGTCCCAGCCCATGGCTCTGACAAGACAAGCGAGGGCGGGTCGGACACGGGCGAGGCCTTCTAACCGATCAAACTGTCGCCGTAAAACTCAAACGCAAAAACACATCGAGAAAAAAACAAACAAAAAAACGACCTCAAAGTTTGCTGGCGACCCTATAGGGTCAAACAAAGTTCGGTCAATTTCCCGATTAAAAGTTGTACCAAGGCTATTTTTGTACTTCGCCTTTCAGGGTACACTATATAATCTGATCTGCAAACACTGAAAGGTACAAAAAAAAAACGATTAAAAACAGATTTTTGAGAGCTCGATCAAAGATGATGTTCAGTCGTCGTCTTAATTAAAAAAAAAGTTGCACTAAGGACGTTTTGATAAGCACTATTTGGCGCCATAACTTGATGAAGTTGCAAAGAAACATGATCAAACATAGATCGTTGAGGGTGGAGAAAACCTGTTAAAAAAAGCTTCGATCAAAGATGAAGCGCAGACAACTTCTCAAGTTGTGACGTCAACGAATGACGTCACAGCCATCTCTTTTTTTTCCCTCTCTTAATGGAAGTAAAGAGAGAAAATGCAAACTTTGCCCTAACGAGGTGACAACGGGCAAGACGACACGCGGAAGAAGACAGCGCGCCCGGAGTCTCGTTTTTTCTTGGTGACGTCTCCCAAGTTTGAAAGTCTGGCAACGCCACCTACAGATGACGAGGCCCGCTCATGACGTCATCATTAGTGGATGCCCAACACCTTGCCCCGAGCGGCAAACACGGCGCTGAAGGCTCATTCACACACGTTCGACCGCGTCGAGACCGCTCGAGTCGAGCTGTTGCTATGGCGACCGCCTTAGGACGGGCCAATAGGGGCCGGAGGCGCCGTGCCGCACGACGCAACGCGGCGCAACGCGGTCGACGCAATGATGTGTGAACGGGCCTCGAAGCTCGACAAGAGAACAGGCCGCAAAGCGACAGTCTTGGTGCCGCCGCGGTAAGCGACGCAAGCCTTTTTTTTTTTTTTTTCCCTGGTGGTATTGACAATTGAGTCTAAAATAGTCGCTGCACGGTCCTTTTTTTTTTTTTTTTTTTTTTTTTTTTTGTCTTTACACGGGACGTTACGTCCGAAACGAAGTGCCTGCGTTCTCTGTCGACGGGAGCGTTTCTCTCTTCCGGTAGAAAAATAGATGGGCTGCGGAGACCGGTGTTGCCAGGCGTCGAAGAGCAAACTCTGTCTCGCCAAAACTTAAAGAAATAGTTAATAAAGAAAAAGGTGACTAGGACATAACAGGGAAGTAGGAATTCAGCAGTTACTCACCTTAGGTTCGCAGTGGAGGTGGCAGCAGTACTTGCACGCTGCACGGAGACGGGAGAAACAGTAGATGAAAAAATAAGAGTTGAGGAAAAATACGCCGCTAGCATCTCTAACGTGTAAGTGTATTTTGTAGATTCGTTTTTTTTACTTCGTGAGTCACGCGTTAGTTAAAGCAGACACCAGGAAGAGTTTCTTCGTGACTTATAAAGAGAAACTTAAACAGCCACAAAAAGATAAACACGAAGATCACACTGCTGACTACCAACTGAACCATTATTGCAAAAATTGCAACGTACAAGCCACCACCACTGCATGGTATAAATGCATACGATGGAGTTATAAAAAAAAAAAAGGTAAACTTACGGATCAAGGAAGAATGACACAAAATCTCTTTTTGCTCAGTCCATATACCGGGTGTTTCGGCGAAGACTTTCAAAACTTCCTACCAATGAGTTCATTTAGAAGAAGGAAAAATCTTTTTGAGAACAAATTGCTATTCACGGCGGAGGTCAGATATTCAAAACAAAAAAACACACTAATTAGTGTTTTTTTTTTTCGAAAGTCACGGGTAACGTTTTTTACGTTACTTATTTCAAGTAACGGGTAACGGAGTTACGTTACTCGTCGCTTTTTCTTCCCAAGAAAAAAAAAAAAAAAGATACACTTCAATTTTTTTTATGTTTCTAGATTCTAAGCCATGTAATTTTTTTGTGTTTTTTACGTTTATTTTTTTTTTTTGTGAGCATTTAGGTGAAAGCGTAAAAAAACAAATAAAGTAATTACGTTCAGTTTCCGTGTGGACATAATGTGTCTCAAAATATGGCGCTAATTAACGCATACCTGTAACGTCAAAACAGTAAAACGTGTTAATTCAAAATTCAAAAAAAAAAAACGCAAACGCAACGTGCGTTAGTTTTTATCGGTAACGGTAAGGGTGACGCGTTCCTCTTATTTTGAAGCAACCTAGGACGGTAACGCGTTCCTTTTATTTGCGAGTAATGAGCAACGTATTTCGTTACCTTTGTCTTCGGTAACGCCTACAACACTGACCGCGGCAGAGACTACACAAAAATCAGCGCCGCTTGTAATACAAAAGGTTTACTGTACTATATTCCGTTTCCCAGACACGTAGCCAGCATTTTTTTTTTTTTTTGTGAAGGGGGGGGGGGGGGCGTTTATGACAACATGCTGTATGAGGTGGAGGGGGAGAGGAGGTCCCAGCAAAATGGAAGATTTCGGGGGGGGGGGGGGGGGGGGGGGGGGGGGCGAGCCCCAAGCCCCCCCCCCCCCCCCCCCCCCCCCCTGGCTACGTGCCTGCCGTTTCCTCGTGTTTTCCTACCGTCGGCGCACCGCAATTTTCCAAGTTTTAATTGGCTCTTACGACGCATCGTACTAGTAAGATGGAAATAAAACGTAAGAAAACATAATTCTTCAGGTGTCTAGATTACAACTTGCACTGTTCGAATTCAAGGACCCCTTCAGCTTCCTTTTACGTCAAACAGCAGCCAACGCTACACGATTCGATGAAGCCAATCAGAAAGCGCCAAACGTGCTTCGTCACGGCGCTTGTCGCTGTTGTGCGCTTGATGTCACCAACTAAAACAATCATGCGCAAAAAAAAAAAAAAAAAAAAAGAAACCGGAGGATTAATTTGGCGTTTACTATAGTCAGTCTTCTGGCTGAGGAGGAGGAAGCAGAGCTGAAGAGAGGAGGAAGTTTCCTCCTCTCCTCTAGAGCATTCCGTCTGCTTCCTCCTCCCTTGCCCTCCTCGAAAACTTTCCTTCACCGGTAACAGGGACTATTAGCCCCGAGAAGTTCGCGTGGCGCCCCCTTACGGCGAACCGGGATGACGTCACGGCGAGGAGAGAATTTTTCCCCGACTCGCCCCGGTCGCACTGTGGAGGCTGTGACGACGCTAGCTGTCGGCGCGCTCGTTTCTATTTAATATTTTTTTGGCGTGTTTTTCGTAGGAAGTGTAAATTTCTATATGTGCCTTTATTGAGGTATGGCCTGTAGCTACAGGAGGAACTTCAACCAACATTTGAAGCATGGTTGACAGGGCAGGCAACGCGTGAATCGCAGCTGGTATATGAAAATGAAGAAATATGGCCACAATTGCAGGAGCATCACTATAGATTTACCTTTCGCACGGTACATGCTGCTGATGGTCTGAATGAATGAGCAGGTTGTGTATACTATTTTTTTTTTTTTTGTATCTCTGTTTTTAAACAAGATCGCCGAAGCAGAAAAGCTGCATGTTGTTCGAGCAACATACTAAATACAGTCTGGGCCATGGGGAGAGAATCACAATTACGACAGCCCAATTGCGGGGGAAAGTAAAAAAACAAGATGCATTTATAATTTACATTGCTCGCATTTGACCTTTGTTGGATTCGGATAGTATTTCAATGGACTACATGGCTGGTATCTGTGAACTTGTTTATATCAACCCTCGAGTAATGTATAACAAACGTAAGCGAAGGTGCCTAGCTTGTTATTAGTCCCTTAAGCCCTAAAATTGAGATTTTACTTAAATCGAATTGTCCTGAAGCTAAAATATCAGAAGCTTTTCTCACGCAGACTGTCGCCCTACACAGGTTCCACATTTTCTGCTACTAGTGCTGCACCTACCACTGGACAGCCGTTCGAATGCTTGTTTTTACTCCTGTTTTCCTCTGCTGTCAGAGAGTCCAGCTGTAGGGAGTGTGGAGGCTGAGGAAGCTTTTGGGGACCTGCAGCAGTGTCTCTTTTAATTGGAAATGATAATTCAGACCCAACGGTGTATTTTCCGAATACCAAAGGCTGGAATAAAGAATGTCAGGAAAAAGTATAACCATTCCAAATTACGGCACTATTGCTGTGCATATTTTTGGCAGTTCAATACATATCATACAGGCAACTGGGGGCAATTCAGCCGTTTTTGCTGCTACCATACAAACTAATTTCCAGTAATCGTGCATCTTCTAAGAAATATGCCTGCATACGTGTATAAACTATATAATAAATTCACGACGAAGCTACATTTATGTAAAACAACGCTGTTCAACGAGCACTTCAAAGATCATCAGACGCAGGGCCTTTAAAACATCTGCGAACCAGCACATACAGAGTGGCAGCGCAGAGTCGCGGTCGCGAGCTAATTTGCCGACCACCCATAAGGCCCATGATATAAATGCCACTTCAAATGCCTTGAAAACGGGATGTAATATCGTCCTAAATCATGAGCATGCAAGGAACAGAATTCTAGCGTCTGAAACACTTGCGCCACCGCTTCACCGACCCCTCGCAAGATTGCCGTGTGTCTAGTGGACGGACGAGGAGGTTCATTGGCGGAATTGCCTCCGCTTATAGCTTTCGGGACTTGTAACCCAATTTTAAAGGTAAACGGGACGAGCAGGCTTATAAAATGTACAGAAGCACGTCAATATCGGCCTAACTCAACGTCTTGTACACCGGGTAAACGAAGTCCAGCTCCTCGAAGAGCTTGCGGCACACAACGTCAAACCAGGAAACCGGTGCTGGGAAGCGAGCCGATGCGAGATCGCGGAGCGGAGTACTCCCCCTGACGTCACGGTACACTTCACCCAATCACGGCGCGGCGACCGCAGCGACGCTTGTGTTCGCTCTCGGGGCTAATAGTACTCATTCCAACCAGGGCCAGGTACGTAGCCAGGCGGGGGGGGGGGCATGCCCCCCCCCCTGAAATTTTTTATTCTGCTGGAACCTCTTCCACAACCTCCCCCTCATACAGCATTTTGTCATGAGCGACCCCCCCCCCCCCCCCCCCCCCTCTTCCCAAACAAAATCCTGACTGCGTGTGCCTGACCAGGGCTCAGTGTTCGGACGTCCCGGCGCGGTGTCTCCTCTCCCCCTCTCCCTCAATGTCTAGCCGTATAGGGCGGAAGCCGCCCAAGTTTCCAGACGAGACCTTACGAAGGAGCCTGGCATAACGAACACCGTCCGTAATTGTTTCCGCGGGCCGCATCCACGGGTCCCGTTCTATTTCGGCGGCGTCCCGAACGAGGCCTCGGTTCCCACCTCCACGGTGGCCTATAGCTGGTAGCGCGCCCCCCACCGCTGGTGCCTGGTGACTGAGCCCTACACTGTGACACCCCCTTGTCTCGCTTCCGGAGCACTATTTCCGCCCTCCACCGAACCGTCCTCACAGGTGACGTACGCACCTGCTCCACCTCATCACATGACGGACACGTCGCCGTCGTCTGCTCAAGCTCCGACCGAGGGCGAGGACACCCCTGCCGACGGAAGACCAATCGTCTTTACGTTCCAAGAAAGCTGACTAAAGGCGTGCTGATAAAACAACGTCATGCTAAAGCGTAACGATATGCTCCCGTGATCCACAGTGGCCCCAACCACGTGAGTGCGTGAGGTGGCAAACGCTGCTTTCGTGAATAGAAAAACTACTTAGGGCGACGGCTGCTCATGGATCAAACTCTCATCTGTGCAATAAGCAAACCAGATCTTACGGGATTTGTGTGTCCAACGTGAGTTCAATATACTACCTTGTATGTTCTTGCAAGTCTAATCGAAAATGTTCTAGATAGGTAAAGGTTTTATTAGGATTTGGACGGGTGCTCTTGCCCGACCTTTGCAGGAGGCTCCCTGGTCCCTGAGGGGCTGCTGACAGAGATCGCAGCGCTGTGTCTTGCGGAACTGCTTGCTTCGGAAGGAGTGCCGGGTCTCCCCGCCGGCCTCCACCCTCCCCTGCACGACAAGGAGGACGGGTTACATTTCCCAGACTTCCACCACGACGACTGGGAACAACCAACAGCTGCCGAAGTCACTCGGGGCAATATAGTTACGGAGGAAAACCTCGGACACACGAAACGTCTCCGAGTTAGCGGGCAAATGGGACCCGACCCGCCAAGCTGTTTTACAGGGTTCTTTCGCCGGCCTCCCCTTCGTGACCGACAAGAAAATAAAAGTTATTTCATTGTATCGTACTACACACTGTATTACATTGGATTGCGTGATATTGTTCGCGTTGTTTCGTATTGTATTGAGTTGCATTGTATTGCGTTGTTCTATGCTGTATTCCGTTGCAATATATTATGTTATGTTGTATTGTATTACTGCCCAGACCGGTTATAACGAAATAGCGGCTACATCGAAGCGATCACGACTTCCCATTCCCTTTTGCACTTCGTTATAACCGCAGTCGGTTATAACGAAATACCGGATATAGCGAAGTGATTTTCGATTCCAGTTGACTTTGTTATAACCGGTCTTGACAGTGTAATGTATTGCATTGTGATGCATTGTGCACTGTATTAACGTACCGTAATATGTTATGTTGTATTATCTGGTATTGCATTACAGTGTATTATATTGTAGCGTGTTGTACTGTACTGCACTGTTACATAGGTGCCCCCCAGGGGGTAAATGCGTACGTGTGGCGGTCCGCGACCCGACCTTACTTAAGAAATAATTACCAAATATAGATGCCGTGTCCAACTGGGGAGGTTTACATTTATTGTCGCGCGGAGTTAATATATAGCGAGTTCGTTTCACGGCACTCGTGCCCACGCGTGCCCACTCGCAGCGTGGAACGGGTTCGTTTCGGCCGGCACTCCACGAGTGGTTGCACTTTCCGTGTTCGTTTCAGCGCTGACACCCCACGCGTGCATGCACTCGCTGCACCGAGAAAATCGGGAGTGCGCCAAAATGCAATCCCGTCATGCCTCACTCCGGTGGGGCCGGCGAGGAGCGGGAGCAGACGACGAGGGTTCGTCTGCTACGATGTGTCGCGGAACCGAACGGGAAAAAAAACTAGATTTTCTGATAGAAATCGCGTCCTGCGGGAAACAAAATCAAACGCGAGCTTGAATTGTGAGCGTCTGCTATTTCACGGAGGAAGCAATTGGCAACCCCTGATTTATTTGCAGGTTTTAAATCGCTCTGTTGCCGTACAACGCTGAAATATACCAGTGTGTAAAGAAATGCTCAGAACAAACGCAACAGTGGCCCCCGAGATGTCGATCACCATCCGTGTGCGGGTGAAAAATTTAACATTTGTCGATAAACCTCCCCCAGCAGAAACCTCTGACTGCCCAATAAGCATCAGAGAAAGCTAAAGATGGTGACTGTACCCGAGGATTGGGCAACATCATCATGTTTAACATTTACCTACGCAGCTAACTTGCCTTGTCGTATTTTGTTTGAGAAAGCTCTCGTTCTCGACGCCCTCACCAAGGCTAATATCTAATCCACCTATAATGACGATCCAAATCGAAAGTCCCAGTTTTGCTGGATATTCCAACAGGCTAGTTTTAAGCTGTACCCTTTCAGTGGTTCACGCATAATACCATGCTCAAACGGATCAAGCTTCTGCTCGGACACCATCATCACTTTTCTTCAGTGTAAACGGTTATAAGGATTGAAAGATCGCAACCAGCTGCTTTGTAGACAGCTGGTTGCGGAAATTTACGCCGTCTGTAACTATCTCTACGGCAGCCGAGCTGCTTGAAGACATCGCAACTATAAACTACAGGTTGCAGTTGCCAACGTTTGTAGATAAACGGTGGTAGCGACTGCATTCTCGCGTCCCCACGCATCACTCGGAACAGAAAGGCGCTAGTTTCGGTTTGAAGTCAATACCTTTTCTACAACATAGATGGCGGCAGCATCAGTCTTCTGCACTCGGTGCATTTGGCGAGTTCGTTTCAGTCCAGTTTTCCGTGCAACACTCTGTGAGTGCGATGTATTCTGGGAGAGAACTCGAACGGTGCCAGTGCGTGTGAAACGAACTCGCTAATAGAAACCTCATCGAGCAATCCAAGCTACTCCGAAGAAAAAAGAAGAAAAAAAACGGAGCTTGTGAATGTGCACATTAAGAAGCCCGATAATCGACGAAACTGGTTCAACTAATTAGCGGACCAATTTAGTCGGTGAAGTCGGACTGCCAACCTGGGGTCTTAAGCGGGTTAGTACAATACTCATCCAGATCGAAACTGATAGGTGCAGGAATCCCTGGGTTTTGCAGCGAGATCTTTCGCCTCTACGGTACGCTAGAACAAACACATTGCGACCCATCCCCGTGTCCCCCGTTCAGTGAATAGGGAGTTTTCGTAGACCGCGTTTCCCCCTTCGCTAAGCCGTCCGCAACGAAGAAGTCGCTACTGCGCCTGCGCGCCCATGGCCTTGACTGTAGAGTTCTGGGTATCGTAGCGGGTTGCGGGACGGCAAAAAACGATCTACGAAAGCTCCCTAATAAGTCCTTCGCGTAGACTACGTGAAGTCCTCGTTAGTAACCTCAGCATAGATAGATGGATGCATAAGGCTGAACCTTTTTTTTCTTTTTAATTCGGCGGTAGCTTGTGCCACCTAGCGAGTGCTTTGGGTATCAGCACCTAACCTCCACTTAGTATTAGAACCCGTAAGGTATAATTTTCTCATATTACGCTCGAGCTCCACCAGATGGCCATTTCTATATGACACACAAAAACACAAGTGGCATTAGTGATAAGACATAAATCTGGCAGAACTTGCCAACACAATAATTCCTACAGCGTTTCATTGTTTCTAAAACATATAAAACAACACTCCCGCCAAAAAGAAGAATATATGCAAAAGACCCACCATTTCCGGCCAAAAACACTATTAACAAAAACCAGCACCATTCAATAAATCAACGTAGACGATATAAAACAATCAGAAAAAAAAAGCTATCAGACAGGGCGCGCATCTATATACGAAAAGGACACGCGAACCGTGCACACCAACGAACGGGCCTACAAGATGAACTCTCACGCACAAACAAAACCACAAAAACGCCCCAAACAATCACACACACAAGACACACGTAGAACGAAAACCAACAACTAAGCTAGATAAATCAAAAATAAGAAGCGACGATAAATAACACAAAAAAAAAAAAAAAACGATCATCGTATCGGTAGTGATGCAACCACACGCCCTTCCAGCGTCTCGTTCGTGTCCTTCCGCGTTTGCGTACCAGGCGCACCCATGGACGCCGCACAGCGTGGGGGCAAACCCGCTTACAAATGCATCCGCGCACAACAAAAAAGTAGGTCCCCCCAAGCCCGCAGCGAACAAAACGCTCATTGAGAAGAGACCGTCAGAGGTGATCGATTCTCTCGAGCCGACTGCACGGAGTCAACCGAGAAATATGGGGCTCCTTTTTGGCCATTCGATAGAGGGACACAGTGCGCGACACTGTTAGGGGGAACGGTCATTCAGCATTTGTCTGAAGCCGCATTGAGGCTACTGATATCATACAAATAGACGCGGTGGTAGCTTCAGAGGGTCACGGGGAGACTGGTTGGTACATGTGACGTTCTTTCCTTACAGCGCGCATGCTATTCCTCCTCTTCAGCTATTCCTCTTCAGCTATTCCTCCTCTTCAGCTGGACAACTCTATCCGGCAACAGTTGGACAACACGACCCAGTCACATCGCGGCAACAACGACAGTCGGGCAACATGTTGCCGCCGCCCGGCGACCGTGTTGGCCATGATTTGTTGTCCGACCACCCAGTCGCACACCGCGCTGACTGGCGGGGACAACACGGGGAACACTCCGCCATCTTGATTGTTTATAAACTTCGTTCGTGTGCGGCGCGGCGTCGCTGGAAATGGGACTCGACAAAGTGCTAGTGCGTTCGGAGGGCCGGAAATTACCACGGGACAATGTCAATCAGTCACTGTGATTAGAAAACTTGACACGGCGAGTATTTTCCGGCCTTTTTTTAATCAAAATGTTCTTCGTTCGCTGACAAAGCGGATAGCCCTGACCGAGGAAAGTGAGATCGCTGATATATGTTCGGGATTTACGCCACGATATGAAGTGCATCTGTCCCGTTCTTTCTTTCGTGCAACTCCTATTTCTACCGTTAAACTGAGTTAGCACCGGCAGTAGCCCAAAGCGTCTTTTGTAGCCTGCTGTTGTGCTGAACTGACAGTGCTTAAAAAATGCGACCCCGACACGATCGGCCTTCTTGAGAATCGGTAAAATATTTTTCAATGCTGTCTATCTGCTTACCTCCTGCTATCCGATCGCTTCGTTCATCAAAAAGTCCTGGGTATTTTTTAAACAAATCAGGTGTCTGGTAGCGGCTGTTTCCAGGTTTCAGGCATCAAGAATACTGATCAGAGTGCCTTAATCATTGTTAAATAATGTTTCCCAAGCCTTTATTTGAGTAAGACGTTATTGATAAGGAATTATAGCTCTGCCATCGAAGCTATGTGGGTTCTCGTGTTGCCTGCCCGAAATTCCCTCAGTCAGCGCGATCAGGGCGATACGCGTTGTACAACGCAAGCTGCTGCTGTTTTTTTGTTGCCGCGAGCTGTCATACCGAAGCAACATTTTCGTTGTCGTCCATGTTGCGCTGCCGTTGCCGCGATGTGACAAGTTTGTCGGACAACACGGGGAGCGAGCAACAAGTTGCTCGACTGTTGGACAACGCTTTGTGTTGCTGTTGCCGTCGTGTTGCCACAGTGTGGCAGGGCTTTAAGCTTTGAGTGTACGGACATTTGACCTTCACTTACCCGCTATCTGGCCCCTCGTAATCTAATCAGTGTAATTATACGCTTAATAGAAGACCAAAAAAATGCTGCCGCAATTCGACGTAAGCTACATCGAAAATACAACAAAAAAAAGGGCCACTTTTTTTTTCTTTTTTTTTTGGGGGGGGGGGGGGTGGACGGGGGGGGGGGGGGGGGTTAGAGTTAAAATATTATAATCACA